CCAACAGCACTGTTCTACTCAGGCGGTTGGCGAGGGCTTACTGCGTTTGCGTATACTTCCGCCAAAGCGCGGGGCTCGGTAGCTGAGGCCGAGTTTCTGGTTGAGCACTCAGAGTCGTCCGGGGCAGGCGAGTGAAAAACTCTTGCGTGCATTGGGTGTTCCTGCTGTTGCAAAAGCATTTCGCTTCGCGCAGCTGCCCGGCCCCACCTGCGTGCATTGGGCGTCCTGAGGCTCTCTCTCTCAGGTTGGCGCCAGCCAGCTGCACGTGTTTGTCGTGCCCAACGTCCGTGCGGGAGCGCACGCAGCATAGTGCTGCGACGTATAATTTTCTGAGCCCTCAAATCGCGCAGCGGTTTGGAGGGCAGGAAAATTTCAGGGGCTAGCGGTGCCACACTCCTCCTAGCCTAATGGCCTTGAGCTCCCAGCAGAACGCACGAAGCTTGGATACCTCCAACTGGGGGTGGCGGACTTCACCCGCCCTGGTGGGTCAGCTAACGCGCCGTGTCCTGTGGACGGCGGGTGTGGGTCTGTCTGTCCGTCCGTCCCGTCTGTGTGTCTGTGTGTCTGTCGTCTGTCTGTCGGTCTGTCTGTCCGTCGTCTCCCTGGGACGTCCTCGTCCTGCCCGTGGGTGTCTGCTGGCACCGCGGGGTGGGCCTCGTGGCGTGGGTGTTTTCTTTCCCCGCCCGCCCTCCCTGGGTTGCGCTCCGCTGGCTGGGCGTCCTGAGGCTCTCTCTCTCAGGTTGGCGCCAGCCAGCTGCACGTGTTTGTCGTGCCCAACGTCCGTGCGGGAGCGCACGCAGCATAGTGCTGCGACGTATAATTTTCTAGTTGCGAGCTCCACTGGCAGAGCGGCCAGAGAAACCTGCTACGCGCCGTGGGCCACCAGCTGAGCTACGAGAGCAAGCAGAAGTCCCAGAACCACAGTCGATGCTACGAGGGCCACCAGCAGCGCTTCGAGAACCGCCAGCTGCGTTTTGTGGGCCGCCTGCAGAGCTTCGAGTACCGCCAGCCGAGCGTCGAGGACCGCCAGCTGTGGCACCAGGGCCACCGACCGAGCTACCGACGCGTGACCAGTACGATCTCCTGCATGGCGATGGCACCCAGAACGTGGAAGACCGCGATTTGGCAACCGAGGACTCCTACTCTGTCTGGAAGGGCGTACAGGTGGAGGAATTTCTCGGTTACTTCTTGGACGATGAGGGCGGGCCCGAGGAGGGCATCCAAACTCCACAGCGAGGACAGCTGAAAATCACGAGAGCCTCTAAAAGAAACCCGAGGTCAACCAGCCGAACTACGCGCAAAGAGAACGGCACGAAGAGCTTCAGGGGCCACAGGCAATGCTACGAGACCCATCAGCTAGGTCTACGATAGCCGCGAAGAGGGCCACGACGAGCGCTAGAAGGACCACCAGCAGACATGCGAGCACCACGAGCAGAACTACGAGGATCACAGGCACAGCTACGAGAGCCACCTCCAGAGCGACGAGGACCGCAAACTCAACGACGAGAGCCACGAGCAGGGCTGCGAGAACCACCAGCTGGGCCGCGCGGGCCGCACGATCAGCTACAAGGGCGGCAAGCAGGGCAACGATAACCAGAAGTTGTACCAGGAGGGTCACCAGCTGATCTACGAAAACTGCAGGCGGAGCTACGAGGATCATCTGCTGAGCTACCGCAGGCACCAGCTTAGCTGCGAGAGCCACCTGCAGAGCTACCAGGGCCACCTACTCAGCTACGATAGCCACCAGCGGAGCTACCAGGGTCACAGGCTGACCTACGCGAACCCCCACCTCAGCTACGATGGCTACCAGCTATACAGCGAGGACCGCAAGCCTGGTTGCAAGGGCCACGCGCAGAGCTACGAGGACCACCGGCTGAGCTGCGAGCGCCACCTTCAGAGCAGCGAGGGCCTCGAGCAGAGCTGTGTGGCACACAAGTCGAGCTACGAGAGCCTCCAGCTGAGCTGCGAATGTCACCAGCTGAACTACAAGAATTCCGAGCAATATCTCGAGAGCTCCCAGCGCAATGACGTGGGCCACCTGATGAGGTGCAAGGGCAGCAATCGCAGCTATGAGGGCCGCGCGCACAGCCCCGAGAGCCACCAGCTGAACTCCAACAGCTACCAGCGCAGCTACGATGGCCACAGGCTGAGCTACTAGAGCTACCCGCTGAGCTACGAGACCCACCAGCGGGGCTACCAGGGCCAGAGGTTGACCGACAAGAACCTCCGGCAGAGCTACGGAATCCACAAGCTGAAGGAGGAGCACAGGCACCTGTGCCGCTGGGCGCCCTCGTGGCGCCCCAGGAAAACAAGCGGGTTAGCAGCCCGATCGTCACCACAGCTCGACGGGGCTGTGGGAGAGACTCTTGCCCTGTGGTTGGCCAGCCACAGGAGGCGCGGGCCCGCCGCACCACCTTTGAGAGGCCCGATGGGGTTACTCGAAGGGGTCCCCCGACGTGGGGGGCGCGGGAACGTAAGTCATTGGGCAGCGGGGCCTCCGCTGCTTGAGGCCGGCGGCCAGGTGGGGGTGGTGCCGGCGGCCGTGTCTCGGGGTGGCATCTCGAGGCGCTTCGCAACGGCGGCGCAGATGTGACGCCCGGGGCGGGTATGTGCCACCTTTCATGTTGCGAGGTCCGACTGCATGAATTCACGCAGGCACCTTGGGCACCTCCCTTCGGGTTGTGTCGCTCAGGCGTTCTGTCCGGGCACAGAAACTGAACGAGGAGCACAACGAGATGGACTACAAGGGCCACCAGGGCAGCTCCGAGGACCACGAGCTGAGCTAAGAGGACCGCAGGCAGAGCTACGAGAGCCGCGCGACGAGCTGCAAGGACCGCGAGCTGAGCAACGCAGCGCTACGAGGACCACCAGCTGAGCCACGAAGACCATGCGACGGCAGCCCGGCACGTCTCGTGGGACTGCAAGCAAGGCCGACCTTTAGCGGCCAAGGGGGGGTCCTTGGACCCTTTGGCGCACATGCCGAGCGGCAGGTACATTGAAGTGGAACAGCCATGATTCGCGTCAGGATTCAGCAAGGAACACTGATCGATGCGATGTTCGCCAAGGCGGCGTAGAGCAGAACACAGACGTGACCACAACGGCGAGACCGACCTGCCTGAAGCAGGATACAGTACGATGCCATGTACACTGTGCCCGGATGCCGCAGACGTTCGTAGTATGTCATCAGCATGCAGACCATGGGTACTCCGTGCGCAACGTAACGTTACTAGCAAGGTACGCCCTCTACTTTTTCTGACTGAATGGCCCCGCCGCTCGCCCAACTTCCCCTCTCTCCTCGATGGCGGCAGGAGGGGTCTGGTATGAGTGTGGGCGACCTCGTCTCCCCCCTCCCTCTCTCCAGAGAATGGTGGGCCCTCCCTGGCCCCGACTGCGGTTGCCCGCGACGGGCGCGGGGCGTGGCTCCGTAGGAGACGCGCGATCGCGATGCGAGGGAGGAGGGAGGAGGGAGGCGAGGAAATGGGAGGAAAAAGGAGGCGGATGAGGAGGGCGAGCGAGGAGGGGGGAGGGAGGAGGGAGGAGCGAGGAGGGAGGCGAAGGAAGAGGAGGAGGAGGAAGGGGAGGAGGAGGAAGGGAGGAGAGGAGGAGGAGGAGGAGAGGAGGAGGAGGAGGGGAGGCGGAGGCGGAGGAGGAGGAGGAGGAGGAGGAGGAGGAGGAGGAGGAGGAGGAGGAGGAGGAGGAGGAGGAGGGAGGCAGGAGGAGGAGGAGGAGGCGGAGGAGGAAGAGGAGGAAGAGGAGGAGTTGGAGGAGGAGGAGGAGGAAGGGGATGAGGGAACATGGAGGACAGGAGAAGGAGGAGGGAGAAAGGATGAGGTTGTTGCAATGCCTTAAAGGCAGAAGAAAACCGTGGTATTCAACGAGCGCGGGCCAGGCCAACGTGGCCAACGGCCAAACACCAACGGCACTCGTGCAGAAACGGGGTCGCGGGCACACGTTGGGACCTGGCCTCCAGCTTTTTGTCCTTGACCATCTCCCAATAGCGCCGGCAACGTTGTGTCTGAGAGGGGGAAATCTAGAAAAGGAAGGCAAACCAAGGACCGCCCTACACCCTGCGCCAAACTGGCGCATGGGGGTTCGGGATTGGCACCCAAGGGACAAAACACGGAGCGTTGCCCTGCACCCACACCCCCACTAGCATTGCAGCAGTGTGCTTGCGGCACAGAGCACTGCAGCCAAGAGGTTACAGGCGGAAAGCCGCGGGCCCCGCCTCCGTGAACGTCAACGGCGGTTCACCTCAGACCAGAAAGGTGCCATTGGGGTCTCCCCGCGCACGGGTCGCACCTCTTGGCCGAAGTGGCAAGGCACTACACACCCTTGCCTGACAGCTGCAGCGGCGGCAACAGGGGGCGGCGGGTGGGACGGGTGAGGAGGGGCCCCTCCTCCGGCCGAGGAGCGCAAACTGAACTGAATCCAGGGCCGCGCCGCAATTCCTCAAGGACAGGGGGGCGTCGGACACGACGACGAAGCGAGCGCCACGAAGGACGACAACGAGCGACCACGAAGCCTCCCGAGGGAAGCGCGGAACTCCGCCACGTTCCTTTTGGCACCCGCTAGCGGGCCGCATATAAAGAGCCTGACGTCATCGGACCAGCACTGCATTCAGGCGGTGCCACACGGAGGCGAGGCATCTGGAGATTGCCTCGGCCTGGCGGCGAGAGGAAGGACGAGAGGGGGAGGGAGGCGGATGAGGAGGGGGAACAGGGAGGCGAGGGAGAAGGAGAGAGGGGAGGAGGGAGGAGGTGGGATGAGGAGGGAGGAGGAGGAGGGAGGAGGAGTTAGGAGGAAGAGGGAGGAGGACAAGGAGGAGGGAGGAGGACGGAGGAGGAGGGAGAGGAGGAGGAGGAGGAAGAGGAGGAGGAGGAGGAGGAGGAGGAGGAGGAGGAGGAGGAGGAGGAGGAGTAGGAGGAGGAGGAGGAGGAGGGAGGAGGGGGGAGGAGGAGGAGGGAGGAGGGGGGGAGGACGGAGGAGAGGGGAGGGGGGAGGACGGAGGAGGGGGGAGGAAGGATTTGGCGTCACTCCCCGTGAGCCCGCGGGCGCGGGCGCGCACCCGCCGCGGCGCGCACCCGGCCGCTTAAGCGCTCCAGCGGCAGGCAGCCCCGCCCGCCGCCGCCAGCCTTGAGACGGCCAAAAAGCCGACGGCGACGGCTGCGACGACGGCGGCGACGACAAGGTCGACGACAAGGTCGACGACGAAGGCGATGAGGACGGCGACGACGAAGACGGCGACGAGGACGAGGACGGCGACGGCGAGGACGACGACGGCGATGACGACGACGGCGGCGACGGCGAGGACGACGGCCACGACGACGAGGACGGCGACGACGAGGACGCGGACGACGCGGACGACCGACGACAAGGAGGACTGCGACGACGCGGACGGTGACGAGGCGGACTACGACACGGAGGACGCGGAGGACGGCGACGACCACGACGACGACGACGAGGACGACAACGACGACGCGGACGACGAGGAGGACGACGACGAGGACGGCTCCGACGACGACGACGAGTACGACAACGAGTACGACAACGAGGACGGCGACGACGACGGCGAGAACGACGACGGCGAGGACGGCGACGGCGAGTTCGACGACGACGACGACCACACCGACGTCGACTACGAGGACGGCGACGACGAAGACGGTGACCACGACGAAGAGAACTGCGACGACGACGACGACGATGACGAGGACGACGACGACGACGCGGACGACGACGACGACGACGACACGGACGACGACGACGACGACGTGGACGACGACGACGACCACGACGACGAGGACGACGACGACGACGAGCATCGCGACGACGAGGACGTAGACGACGACGCGGATAACGAGGACCCCAACGACAAGGACGAGTACGACGAATTCGACGCGGACGACGACGTCGACGACGACGACGACGATGAGGACAGCGGCGATGCGGACGACGATTGTGACGACGACGACGAGGACGACGACGCGGAGGACGACGACGACGAGGACGACGACGACGACGACGATGATGTCGAGGACGACGACGATGAGGACGACGACGCGGAGGACGACGACGACGACGACGACGACGACGACGATTTCGAGGACCGCGACGATGAGGACCGCGACGACGATAACGACGACGACGACAACGAGGACGAGGACGGCGACGACGCGAAGGACGACGACGACGACGAGGACGACGACGACGATGACGACGACGCCGACGACGACGTTGACGACGACGCGGACCTCGACACGGAGAACGTCGATGACGACGACGATGACGACGAGGACGACAACGACGCGCACGACCACGACGACGCGGACGAAGAGGACGGCTACGACGAGGACGACGACGACGACGCGGACGACGCCGACGTCGACGGCGGAGATGACGAGGATTGCGACCACGACGACCACGTTGACGACGTCGACGACGACGCGGACGACGATGATGTTGATGACGACGACGACGAGGATCCGGACGACGACGACGACCACCACGACGACGCGGACGGCGACGACGAGGACGACGACCACGACGACGAGGATGGCGACATCGAGGACGACGAGGACGACGACGACGACGACGCGGACGACGAAGACGATGACGACGAAGACGCGGACGACGACGCGGACGACGACGTCGACGACGACCACGCGGACGACGTGGATGGCGACGACGAGGACGACCACGACGACGCGGACGCTGACGACGACGCGGACGGCGACGACGACGACGACGATGACGACGAGGATTGCGACGACGACGACGCCGCGGACGACGGCGCGGATGACGGCGATGGCGACGACGACGATGACGTCGATGATTGTGACGAGGAGCACGACGACGACGACGACACTGACGACGAAGACGACGACGACGCAGACAATGCCGACGACGACGGAGATGACGAGGACGACGACGGCGGCGACGGCGACGACGACAACGACGACGAGGACGGAGACGACGAGGACGACGAATTCGACGAAGGCGACGGCGACGAGGACGACGACGATGTTTGCGACGACGAGGACGGCGACCACGAGGACGACGACGACGACAACACAACGAAGACGACGCCGAGGATGACGACGACGTGGAGGATGACGACGACCACTGCTTCGACGAGGGCGACGACGACGCGGAGGACGACGACGACGAGGACGACGACGACGAAGACGATGACAACGACCACGACGACGACGACAACGACGCGGTTGACGACGACGACGAGGCCGACGACGACGAGGACGGCGACGACGACGACGCGGACAACCACGAAGACGACGATGACGATAGCGACGACTACGACGATGACGACGACGACGACTATGACGCGGACGTTGACGACGACGACGCGGACGACGTCGACGACGACGACGATGACGATGACGATGGCAACGATGACACGGACGACGACGATTGCGACGACGAGGACGACGACGATGAGGATTGCGACAACGGGGACGACGACGACGAAGACGACGTCGAGGACGACGATGACGACGACGATGAAGACGATGAGGACCACAACGACGACGACGACGACGGCGACGGACACGACGACGACGACGCAGACGCCGGCGACGACGACGAATACCACCACGACGACGAGGACGGCGTCGATGAGGACATCGACGACGACGACGCGGACGACGAAGACGACGACGAGGACGACGAAGAGGACGATGAACGACGACGCAGATCACGAGGACTGCGACGACGACGCGAACGACGACGCGGAGAGCGACGACGACGAAGACGACGACGACGACGACGACGAGAAGGGTGAGGACGAGGATGAGGACGAGGACGACGAGGACGGCAACGAAGAACACGTCGACGACAACGCGGACGACGACGACGACGAGGACGAGGACGAGGACTGCGAGGACGAGGACGATTTCGACCACGACCACGACAACGATGCGGACGACGACGACGCCGACGACGTCGACGACGACGACGAGGACGACGGCGACGACAAGGACGAGGACGGCGGCTACGCGCACGACGACGATGCGGACGACGACGACGACGACGACGACGGCGACACTTCCGACGATGAGGATGGGGACGACGACGAGGACGACGACGACGACGACAGGGACGACGACGACGGCGACCACGACGACGCGGACGGCGACCACGACGACAACGTGGACGGCGACGACGAGGACGACCACGACGACGCGGACGATGACGACGACGCGGACGGCGACGACGATGACGACGACGACGATGACGAGGATTGCGACGACGACGACGCCGCGGACGACGACGCGGATGACGACGATGGCGACGACGACGATGACGTCGATGACTGCGACGAGGAGCACGACGACGACGACGACGCAGACAATGCCGACGACGACGGAGACGATGAGGACGACGACGGCGGCGGCGGCGACGACGACAACGACGACGAGGACGAAGAGGACGAGGACGACGAATGCGACGAAGGCGACGACGACGAGGACGACGACGATGCCTGCGACGACGAGGACGGCGACCACGAGGACGACGCCGACGACGACGACGACGACAGCACAACGAAGACGACGCCGAGGATGACGACGACGCGGAGTATGACGCCGACCACTGCTTCGACGAGGGCGACGACGACGCGGAGGACGACCGACGACGAGGACGACGACGACGAAGACGATGACAACGACCACGACGACGACGACGACAACGACGCGGGTGACGACGACGACGAGGCCGACGATGACGAGAACGGCGACGACGACGACGCGGACAACCACGAAGACGACGATGACGATGGCGACGACTACGACGATGACGACGATGACGACGACGACGACGACGACGACTATGACGCGGACGTTGACGACGACGACGCGGACGACGTCGACGACGTCGACGACGACGACGACGATGACGATGACGATGGCAACGATGACACGGACGACGACGATTGCGACGACGAGGACGACGACGATGAGGATTGCGACAACGGGGACGACGACGAAGACGACGTCGAGGACGACGATGACGACGACGATGAAGACGATGAGGACGACAACGACGACGACGACGGCGACGGACACGACGACGACGCAGACGCCGGCGACGACGACGAATACCACCACGACGACGAGGACGGCGTCGAGGAGGACATCGACGACGACGACGCGGACGACGAAGACGACGACGAGGACGACGACGAAGAGGACGATGAACGACGACGCAGATCACGAGGACTGCGACGACGACGCGAACGACGACGTGGAGAGCGACGACGACGAAGACGACGGCGACGACGAGAAGGGTGAGGACGAGGATGAGGACGAGGACGACGAGGACGGCAACGACGGATTCGACGACGACAACGCGGACGACGACGACGACGACGATGACGAGGACGACGGCGACGACAAGGACGAGGACGGCGGCCACGAGCACGACGACGACGCGGACGACGACGACGACGACGGCGGCATTTCCGACGATGAGGATGGGGACGACGACGAGGACGACGATGACGGCGACGAGGAAGGCGACGTCAACGACGACGACGACGACGACAGGGACGACGACGACGACCACCACGACGAGGACGGCGACGACGAAGGCGACGTCAACGACGACGACAGGGACGACGACGACGACCACGACGACGAGGACGGCGACGACGAGGACGACGGCGACGACGAGGACGACACGATGACGACGACGACGAGGACGACGACGACGAGGACAACGACGACGACGCGGAGAGCGCCATGGGCGGCGCCGCCAGGGGGTCCCAGCGCAGATCCAAGGAATCCACGCGGAGTTCCGAAAGCTTATGTTGATGATGCTTTCCTTCGAGTCCCACAGGGCGCGGGCGCGCAGGGCGTTGTGGGCCGTGGCCGAGGTAAATTGTTAGCCACGAAAGAAAAATAAGAACCCCCAAAACAAAGAAAAACGAGATGCCCGTACGGCTTCTCGTCCTGGAGAGATATCTCGTCGGCACGGCTAGATCCTCATCGGAACCTTGGTCGTGACGCACCCCTGGAGAGGTCCGTGCGGGAGCGGTGTCGGTACTTTTCTGTCCCCTCAGAGGGGAGTGGGTCCAGGGCCGTCGGGGTCATCCTCGCAGTCATGGGGTCGACGTGGGAGCATATTGGCTTCGTC